TACCATGCATACAATGGATTATAATGGAACATTACTATGGTAAAAATACTTATCAGTACATACTGGTGGCTATTAATATCATCATCTTCAGCTAACTTCTATAACGAAGTAACATTAAAAAAATTTGTATATAGCCTCTCCTCACATAGCGACATACTCGTTTACCGACGACTCAGACTTACGACAGGCTCTCTGACCAGTATGCATACCTAAATAATGTATATTAGAGCTGATTTCCTCTCTTCTCTTTATTACAGTACAGTACACTACTATATAAACATTAAAAAAATACCAGAAATAATATTATAAATGGTGCAAAGGTGACATTAAAACAATATCAAAGATGGTTGACATAAACCCACTACCATTATAGTATGCTCCTCACTTAGCAACAAATTTGTTTACTGACGTGATTTTAGGAACGGAACTCGGTCGTTAAGTAAGGAGAGGCTGTATATATGTTCAGAAACTGAAGGGACAGACAAATTCAGTACATGTAATGTACATGTGTAGCAGTTTGGTATCAAACATACTGCATTACTAATTCTGATCCATACCAATTAAAAAGCTCACTCTCTTAATGATACATCTTATTAAACATTAACAAGTCTCAGTATCTCAAGCTTTATATAACAATGAAAGCAATATCAGTTATATTTTTTATGAATCTCTACATATTATAAAGAAAATTTAAACCTTGAAAGTGCTGCTCATTTATAATATAAACAATGAATATGAAGACAGGTTAAGTTAGGGAAGGTAAGACTCATCAGGAAACGGGACAGGTGTTTCCTGATGCCGATTTTAGTCATATAATGATCCGCCACTGGAGCTTTTCATCATCTGAGGCCTCCACTGGCTTACTGGTCCATCCTTTTAAAAACTAATATTAAGCTTCACAAAGGAAGAAAACAGCATCATATGTACACAGTAGACTATAGATTATCCAGCCCCTTCATGAGGAAGTGCGTGTTGGATTTTCAATGACACAATGGTCATGCCATTTTTTATGGTTCCTTTGGTTTTCACATTCATTTTCCACATTACTAGGGCTGGGCTTTGAAATGAGCTGATGTAAGATAACAGCTCTTAGCCTGCAAACTGATTTCTGTAAAAAAAAAAAAAAAAAATTGAACTGCTGATCTCCTGATAATTGATGATCTGCCATAATTGGAAAAATGCAATGAAATTAGTACCCTTCTTAATAGACAACTCAAATGATAGCGATTGTTTTCCTCTTTATCTAACCCAGCCTACATAGGAAGATGCCAACAACTTAAAGGAAACCTTTTCTACAATTGTGTAATATAACTTGAAATGAACTTTTTAGAACCTTAACATAAATGACTAGTTCTGTGTATACTGTCCCATAGCAAGTAGTACATTTTTAATATATTGTACAATGATTCTAGAAGTAAATTCAGGTCTGATTACAGTACTTTTTAATCCAAAATATTTCCCATGCATTGTGATTAAGAGTTCACATAACAAAAAAGACAAAGTAACCTTAATTCATGTGATCATCACTGTATATAAACAAGTACAAACAGCAATAAAAAATCTTAAGTCATGTGATCATTACTTGATGGCTTGATCATCCTCTTTCCCATCAGACAAGACTACACGTGCCATACTTTGGCACTACATGTCAGAAACATAAACACGTCAATGATATAGGGCCCCAACTTATGACATTAATGTGTTCCTGAAAATTCATCGTAAGCTGACTGTTCAGTACTCGGAACCTATTTTTCCCAAAAATAATAATATAAAATGGATTAATGTGTTACCAAGTCCTAATTTTCCATATCTAATTTCAGTTTATTTTGCCCCAAAAAATGTTTACCCAATTTTTTACCCAAACTGATTTCTTTTTCTGTGGAAGTTGGGTATCACTACAACTAGTCTTTCACTTTCCGGTCAAGATTCACAGTTGTTTTCCAAAGTAAATTCTCAAAAAAAATACAGCAAACACACGGAGGAAAAAATGTTTACCTCTAGTCACCAGCCAAAGTACAGTGGACCCCCGGTTAACGATATTTTTTCACTCCAGAAGTATGTTCAGGTGCCAGTACTGACCGAATTTGTTCCCATAAGGAATATTGTGAAGTAGATTAGTCCATTTCAGACCCCCAAACATACACGTACAAGCGCACTTAAATAAATACACTTACATAATTGGTCGCATTCGGAGGTAATCGTTATGCGGGGGTCCACTGTACTGCCTTCTGCAAATGCTCCTCCACCAACATATGTAGTACCCACCATTTATTGCCTTTTCAAAGTCATTTTGTGTTAGGATAATATCAGATAGGTTTGAATCTACCAAATTCTGAGTCTCACTCATAAAAAATTAATTTAGGTCTTCAACTCTTAGCCTGATCAGTGGCTTGCTAAAAACTGAATCATACTGAGACTTGGGTAACTCACTCATTCCCTTGCTGTTATCTGTGTAAGACCCAAGTAGGGGCCCAATACTGGATGTTGTTCTCGACTTGGATTTAGCATAAGAAAAGAAATATTGTGGGTTACTTTCAATTTCATTTATGACTTTTAGTTCTTCCTGCATTTCTTGATTCCTGTAAGATTCCTTTAGCTTAAGTTGAGCGTTTGCTATTTCTCTGACCAGTGCCTCCCTTCGTATTACAGATACATTGGCCTCTTTTAGCCACTCTGTCATTCTTTGCCTATTGTAACTACATAACTTTTACCATACGTATATGAAAAGTTACTTACAACTTGTCTTCCTAATATCAACATCAATTTTTTATTTTACATGCTTCAGCAAACTTCTCTTCACATGTTATACAGGTTCAGGTTAAGTTAATGTCAATTAATGACATTTAACTACTCAAGACATATGAAAGCATAAATAAATGCAACAATGTATAAAGGCAAGACTGCATTTATAAGTGTGAACAGAAACTGTTATTTCTGCAATGAATAAGCACTGCATAAAAAAATACATGTTCACATTTTAGTGTCACAGTTGCTTTTCTGATGATCTTCAGCCTAAGTAAACGAAATTTCCTTATGAGGATGAGTTGTTATCAAAGATTTTAATTAACAAGCTTTTAGGGTGTGATAAACAAAAATCATGACTAGCTGATGTTTTGTGTTCTGACCTCTCTTTAACCTGGCTCAGATATAACAGCACATAATTTATGGGGATAATTCAGCGCATGACGTTGTGGAGGCCAGACAGACGCGCTTCCTATTTGTACTAACCTAGTCGGGGTAGCCAGCCCAGTGGTGAGAGGCGTGACTCTCACCACTGGGGTCCAGGGTTCGAATCCCGGAAGAACTACTAGAAAAAAAATATGGAAACTGTAGGCCAGTGGTGAGAGGCGCGACTCTCATCGCTGGTGTCCGGGGTACGAGAACCAGACGAACTACTTAAAAAAAAAACTGCAGTGCAGTAGTAAGTGCCAGGATTCTCACCACCAGTCCCCAGTGTAGAGAGACGCACAAACTAATGAAAAAAATATCAAAACTGTAGACCAGTGGTGAGAGGCACGACTCTCACCACTGGTGTCCGGGGTACGAGACCCAGACGAACTACTTATCTTATAATCAATTAAAAAAAAAATTATAACAGCACAGCATCATTTTCTGGGTCAAACCCAATAAAAATTACATCATAAATTACATGTACAGTATATAACAATTACAATAATTAAACTCTATAACATAAACAATGTCTAAATAATCTTTTACAAAGAAAAATACAGCATTAACAAAAGTTAAAAGCAACTATTAAAAACACAGAAAATAAAAAGATAAACAGTATTCTACATCAAATAAAAACTATATGATCCACATTAGTCTTTGTTTGGAAATTTACCAGTGTGAATTAAGTTGTATGTATATAAATTAGCCAGACTTGAGTCCTGAAGATGGGTAGTACAGTGCCTGTACTGCACTGGAGGAGTATTAATGTTGGTTTTATAACTGTAGTCTGAGTGTGCCTCTGGCAAGACAGTGATCGTGTGAATGACGATGATAGTTTTTATTTTTTGGGTCACCCTGCCTTGGTAGGAAACGGCTGATGTGTTAATAAAAAAATAATTGTGAGTGCATTAGATGAGAGTGAATGGAGATAAATGGTTTTGGGACCTGATGAGCTGTTGGAGTATGAACAGGGTAATATTTTGTGAAGGGATTCAGGGAAACCAGTTAGCTGAACTCGAGTCCTGGAAGTGGGAAATACAATGCCTGCACTTTAACCCTTTCAGGGTCCAAGGCCCAAATCTGGAGTCACGCACCAGTGTCCAAGATATTTCAAAAAAAAAATTTGTTATTTTTTCTTATGAAATCGTAGAGAATCTTTTTGTGAAGGTAATAAAACAAAAAGTACGAAAATTGGTGGAAAATTGACGAAATTATGCTCTCGCGAATTTTGATGTGTCAGCGATATTTACGAATCGGCGATTTTGCCGACTTTGACTCCCATTTTAGGCCAATTACATTATTCCAATCAACCAAATTCTTAGCTATTTCACTAGTATTACTTCTATTCTATCGATTGAGCACAAGAAATCGCCAAGTCAACTGTTTCAACTACAAAATAAAGTGATCGGAAATTGTTAATTTGGCCAATTTAACACAAAGTTCAAAATATTCCAATTTCAAAATAGGGTCCAGAATGAACAATGTAGGCATTCCTGGCACTAAACTAACATTTCCTCTGTTCATTAGTTATGTTTTGAGGCTTTACAAATAAATTCCATTTTGATTTTTTATTCACATAATGAATTTTTATTCACACCAAAAAATAGATGATTTACTGTTATGAAAATACTGTAATAATTGTATAAATAACATCACCATATTTGTAAAATGTATATTAGACCCCCCCAGCTGATGTGTATTAGATGTTGAGTCGTTTGTTTACTCTTGAATATCGGCAAAAATTAACATTTCCGCTACTTTGAGCTCAGTTTCAAGCCATTTCCAAGCTAAAACCATCAAAATCACTATATTCTGTAATATGTCTTCCATTCTATCAAATGAGACCAAGAAATCGCAAATACAACTATAAAAAACATACGAAAAAACACTGCAAAGTTGCTGTTTTAATCGAAAAATCATGATTTCATTTTTTTTCTCTCATTATGCACAGTGTGCTGCAGGATCTGTTTTATGTGGTGCACACATACCACATAGATGTATTCTCTCATATCTAGGCCCAAATGTACCACTCACAGTTTATCAGAGTGAGCTGAGCTCATGGCGTAGATCTACGGTTTGGACCCTGAACGTAAAGCCGTAGATCTACGGGACGGACCCTGAAAGGGTTAAAGGCGGGGTTTGGGATAAATATTTAATGTCTGGAGTGACATCTGAACTGTCGTATCTGAGTGCCTATGCAAAGACAGTGATTATGTGTGAATGACAATGAAGGTGTTTCTTTTCTGGGTCACCCTGCCTCGGTGGGAGACGGTCAATGTGTTAAAAAAAAAAAGGAATAAACTTTGAAATAATAAAAATAATTACATTATAATCAAACTAAACACTAAACCTGTGAAATATCAGAAGACAGAAACAGTCATCCTATACTGTATTGCAATACAGTACCATATTGTACTCAGTATTTGTTTCTCAGATATTATTAATCACACTGCCAATATCTTAGCACATGTGCTGAGGGATGCTAAGGGTTTTGAGCATCCAACAGGCTTTTGTGAAAACAGTGGAACCTCGGTGTACAACCAGCTCCCTACTCAAACAAAGATCATCACTCAATCAAACAAATACAACCTGCAAGAACTTGCTGTAAACTATTTTGTGTTTCTTCGCATTTTTTGGTGTGTGTTTTTTTTTTATTATTTGTATAAATAAGTCACCATAGGGCCTACGAAGATTAGTGACAACAACCAACCAAACAGAAAATTGGTTGGGAAGAACTTGTTCGATACTCAAATGGAATGGCACTCGAACAGCCTTCTGGAATGAATTGAGGTCGCATACTGAGGTTCCACTGTACAGCCTCTCCTCATTTAGCAACAATCATTTACCGACGCCTCGGACTTACGACAGGCTCTCTGACCAGTATTCATACTTAAATAATGTATGTATATTAGAGCTGATTTCCTCTATTCTGTTTATTTCAATATACAGTACACTAGTGTATAAACATTTAAAAATATACCAGAAATATTATAAATGGTGCAAAGGTAACATTAAAACAATATCAAAGAAGGCTGACACTAACTCACTACCATTATAGTATGCTCCTCACTTAGCAACGAATTCGTTTACCGACGTGATCTTAGGAACAGAACTCTGTCATTAAGTTAGGAGAGGCTGTACATTAGATCAGGGCAAGTGGAAGCAAATAGGTTTTATGATGTGACATGTTATTGAAGTGTGAGCAAGGTAACAGTCATCAAAGGATTCAGGAAAACTGGTTAGCTGGACTGTCCTGGAGGTGGGAAGTATAGTGCCTGCATTCTACAGGAGGGGTGAGGCTGGTACTGTTCAGAGAGCTATTTGAGCTGTGATATTAGCATGCATCTGGCAAGACAATTATTGAATGAATAATGATGGATGTGTTTCTTCCTTTCTGGGTCATCCTACCTTGATGAGAGATGGATGATATGTTAAAAAAAGCTTTGGTGTGTTTCGTGAATTGCACTGATTACAAAATGTAAATGTATCACCCATGTGAAATTACCAATAAATATGGGCCATTGCATAATGACAAATTTGCTTACAGTGAGGGGAAACCTTTACAGAGGGACCTGACAAGCTGTTGGAGTGTGAGCAGGGTAATATTTAGTGAAGGGATTCAGAGAAACTGGTTATTTTTATATAGCCGAACTTGAGTACTGGAAATGGGAAGTACAGTGCCTGCACTTTAAAGGAAAGGTTTGAGATATTGGTAATTTGGAGGGATATGCTGTGTATCTTTATATATGCTACTAAACTGTTGTATCTGGGCATCTCTGCAAAAACAGTGATTATGTATGAGTGAGGTGAAAGTGTTGAATGATGAAAGTATTTTTCTTTTTGGGGATTTTCTTTCCTTTTGGGTCACCCTGCCTCGGTGGGAGACGGCCGACTTGTTGAAAAAAAAAAAGTTTTAAATGAAAGTTAATAACCTTCATTAAGAAATACCTTATATACAGTAATCACCACATCTTTGGAGATGAATATAAAACATAACTTTAGTAATTAAAGACTTCAGCTACAGTAGTATAGAATATTAAAAAACTTCAAAGTATCAGTAAACTTAAAAGTATATGGCTTGAGTACTATTGTACAATAATACTGTACACATTTTTTAACTAAGATTACAATGTGATAGTTTAATCAAGTCATTATACTTCATACCTGTAATATACCTGTGACCAGTTTTGAGGGCTCATCTACCCTCAGAAGTCTGGTCTGAAAAGTTTTCCTATTAATCAGACATCCAAGCACTCCCTAACGGCAGCAAGGAAAGTAGTTCGTACAGATTGCAACGGCCCATGGAGATGCAATGGGAGATGATGGTTGACAGAAGCTATGGCCTTTTCCCAGTATGTCAACTGCCCACGCCACTCTCTTCTCCATTCTACAGCCATGGAATCCTCTCTAGCTCCTGCAACTACTGCTCTAACACCTTGGCACACCTCTTCCCATGCACCAGGTATCAGCTCACTCACAGACCAGAACAGTTTATATGGGCAATGGGATAATTCTACTCCATCCTTGCCAGACCTACCATGTGGTGGCTTATCTAACACTATACAACGTATTTCAGAAGCTTCATTGCGATTTGTGGGACAAAAGGGACTTACTATAATACCCAAAAATGGAGCATCTTGTCGTGCAAACCAGCGTTGCATCTGATCTTGACTTTCAACATCCTGAACAGATGGATTAGGTGGAAATGTTGGATGCGAGTGATACCAACCTACTACTTGTACACCACCCTCGTGAATAGCAGTACATGCAGCACTTTGAGATACAGGACACATGTCACACTCCACTCCTGAACTAACTGCTTGGGTGGGTACTGCAACAGTCACATAAAGTTTCTGTGCAGCAGGATCATAATAACCACCCAGTAACCCCATCACTTCAGCATGGGAAGTGTGAGCATGCAGATCTAATGTTATTAATGCATGAGCATGTACCACAACAGAAAATGGAGGTAAAGTGTCTGGGTCATATTCGAGGCAGCGAATCAATTTGAATTGTTCGAGCTTTCCACCAACTCGACCAGTCCCATGGCCTGCTCTACTACGAGGAGCTTCAGGAATGTGACACGCATCCACAATTGCTCCAGATTCATCATGACTAACTGTAAGACCTCCACCTTCACTCATTGCGGCATCCCATTTCTTTTTCTGCTTCTGTCGATTCATTTCTGAACGATCTACCTTTGCTAAAGGCTTACTTGGTATGGATAACTTTTCTTTTTGTTTGACACCCACAACTAATGGCAAACTGTAATTGCTCTCTGGACAGCCAAAATTAATAGCACCAATTTTCTCTAGGTATTCATGCACCTTACCTATGTAGTTAACATCTCCACAATTTTTTAACCCTGCACGGACTGCAGTTTTCCTCATATATTTAGGTTTCACCCGTTTCCAGAAACTAATAAGATAATTTCTTATTTTCAAGTACCTTTCTGGAGTTTTTACACCTTTACCATCAAAGTACTCAAAGTGGACTTTCTTCTCTTCATCTGTAACCTCATCTAAAATTAATTCTCTCTCTTCAGTCGGAGGAGGAAAAATAAAAACTTCTTGTTTTTTATTTTCTGACCTAAAATCTTCACTTAATTGTGTGTTCTCTTTACATTCTAAAGATTCATCAGGATTAGTGGTGTCATCAGGCTTTTCACAAACTGTGAGATCACTAGGAGGTTTGTCAGCTATTATCAGCTGTTCATCATCACTGATATCGATATCAACATCACTTTCTTCCATCTCATCTTTAACTAAGTGGACAACTTGTCCCAGTGCTGGCATATGAGTTGTGTGGAAATCATTTTTTTTATCTATCTTATGAGAATATTCTGCTTCTGCAACATTTTTTCTTTCATTGCTGTTTGAGCCAATTGTGATTTTCAGCTTTTTTTTCTTCACTGAATGCTTTTGAGGGGACTTCAATTTAAATGGTATCTGTGAATTATGAGATGTATTTTTCTTCTTTAATTTGATTTGATTGGTTTTCATTTTGGTTTTTCGAGTTTTCTTCTTCTGATTTTGTTTTGACGTCTCAAATTTTAAAGAAATTAAACCATCTGACTCTATCACCCATTCTTCACCAATACATGGAACAAATATTTCACCAGAAGAATTAAACCCTTTGCTCTCATTTTCCATGCTACCTACTGCCTGAAAATCAACAACCTCAACATTAACATTTCTTTTTGGAGAAAGTGGTGTGGTTGTTATAGTTGTTGTAGCAGTTTCAATAAGACCTAGAGGATCTTCAAAATCCGTGGTGATACAAACTTGTTCCACTGGCACATGTACACAGGTCTCCCCAACAGCTTTGGCTTCATGGACAATGTTAGTGCTCTCGGACCATTTCTTGTGAAAACTGCGAACTTGCCCAGATGATTTTGTAGCAATAAAATTTGAAATTCTGCTCCAATTTGGCCCAAAAAGTTCCTGCAAATAGTAAAAATGTATTACCTATCAGTACTGTATTTCCTACAATTATGACAGGAACAGAACAGTAGAAAAAATGTGAATACAGTGCATGTACTGCAGCTGAAATCTGTATAGTGCAGATCATGTAATGGAAATGCAAAATACAGCATTTCTATTACATCATTCTTATTCAGAATTATTTTTTTTAAATTAACCCTTCAACTGCCAATGGGATGTAAATTTAAGCCAACTGAAACTGCCAATGGTGTAAATTTATGCACCATGGGTCTGTGCAGTATAGAAATAAATCCTGGTATTAATGAGGCATTGGAAGCATTTGCAAAATGCTCACCCCAAAATAGGATTAGCCTCCTACATAGCTCTTTGGATGAAACTTGCATGTACCGAGGATAGCAATGAGGACTTAAGCTCTGTGAGTTTAGTTAAACTCATGTGGGTAAAAGTAACACTGGAAATGTCCCAAATAATGACCTAAAAGCTGATGACCACATATTTTCCACCACTGGAGTCTCCCAGCCAGCGACCAATTGACAGCAGTGCTGGTGTAAACCTGAGGTTTTCTCGTCATTATTGACTATTCATCAATAACTGGTACACAAGCACTTTATTACCTGTCATTCCCTTTAAGCAACTGATAGACGTTTGCGGTACAGTTTGAGGATCGAGGAAGCCTACACCCAAATTTTATGTATTTGCCCAGGAAAATCAAGTGCAAGCTTTCATTGACATCAATATCAAGGCATTTCGGTTGCATGATAAGCGAGATGTAACTATGTTGACTACCATTCACCTGAATGAAATGCAACATACCAGTAAGACAAACAAGCACACACATGAACCTACTATGATTGATTACACTCACTAACAACAGTTTGGTGAACAACTGTGATATGCAGACTGGTTTTGTGGACTGTGTGCATAGGAGTTTCAAGCAGTGCATCAAATTGCTCTTTCACCTCATCAATATTGCTATGCTCAATGCATATGTGCACCAGGTAAAGGCCAGCAGGAGACCACTAAAAGAACTTCAATCCGGCCATCATCAGCCAAATCTCAACTAAATTCCATATAAACCATACCACGGGCAGGGATAGAACCCGCGATCAGAGAGTCTCAAAACTCCAGACCGTCACATTAGCCACTGGGCCAGCTAGCCACAGTGGCTAACACGATGGTCTGGAGTTTTGAGACTCTCTGATCGCAGGTTCTATCTCCGCCCGTGGTATGGTTTGTTTGCAATTGTGTCATTAAGATTTTGTGAGTCAAATTCCATATAAGAAACATTACTATGTACTAAACACACATTCCTACACATTCATGATCTTCCAAATTCATGGACTTTGATTATCTAATGTTTTTCCTGAAGGGCAACCAGCTAACAGATTTAATTGTCCAGCTTTTTCTAGCTCAATGACTTTCCCATGCTCAATTTTTTTAATTCAGGTCATTATTTATTAGGAATGTCAATAATAACCAGATTAATACATAGTATTACAAAAACATGGTCTCTGAACCACAAAATTAATCTAAATCTGAAACAAAAGTTGTTACCAAGACATGATTTTGAATTATTCTCAGTACCTCAAGGATCTGCAGATTTGTAGGTATGACTGTACAAATTGAAAGCAAAATATGGAAGAGAAGAATAAAATTTGAGTGTATGCTAGTATGGTACAATATTGTATGGCAAGGCCAATATACCAGTAATCAAAACTTGGTGGCTGCATGGATTGTACTGTTTTATGAAGCGGTAAACCATATGGGTCATTAGGTGCAAGGTGTGGTGGAGGCTTGATCCTCTGACCATTAATCATGGCTCAATCTTTGACCAGTCGGGCTTTTCATTGCCTAGAATAAATTACAAACTGAAAAGTAGTTAAAAAGATTGCTGGGAATGGTTTAGCAGTCCATATTATCTTGGTAGCTTCTTTAGAATAATAAAAACTACTTACAATTACTAGATAATCATGGGGGAGCGCTAAACCCATAGGATTATACAGCGCATGTGGGGGGAAGGGGGGATGGAAGGTATTCAGGTTCAATTCAGGGAACTGAAGCACAGATCCAGTTCCCTACATCAAGAGCCCCTCACCAGCTTCAAGGAACCTCCCTTGAAGAGTAAAAACTACTTATACTAACAGAGAATGACAGTTACAGCAATGCTGTAACTCTATGAGTGAGATCAAGAAGTGTGGCTTATTTCTAATGGAGTTCATGGGTCCTTTTTCCCAGGATGAAACACATAACATTTGACTAACTCCTATGTACAGTTTTTCTTTTAACTTGTAGGTGAACAAGAGTAGCAGATGTAAGGAAACTAGCCAAAGTGTTTTGCCTTGTCCAGTACTCAGCAAATTTACCACTCCCAATTCTTCTTTCTAAAAATAAACTCTTCCTTATGAATGTTAATATTAACCAATATTACTGACCACAGTTTTCTTACCAGTCCTTTCTGAAATAAATCCTTCTCAAGTGCATTCCAGTGGCTTTTTCTTTTGCAGGCAGTAACATTTCTTTTGCTCTCTGGTGATGCAGATGTTTGCTGGGTGTTAATTCCACCACTAACAATGACTGTACTTCCATGTGAGGTAGTAGTGCATGACTGATTGCTTGTAGTAGTAGTAGCTGTCGTGTGTAATGCCACTCCTGCTTCTCCAAATAATCCAAATTCCCCACCAGAGTCAAAATCAAAGAAGTCAGGTTCACTTCTGAAAAAAGCAAACCAAACTCTAATAATTTATTAAACAAATTAATTAAAAAAATTAAAAAAAAAATTCTTATAAGCCTTACAGGAGTTACAGAAGATATAAGTAACTGAACACATAATATGACACAAATGTAGGCACAGAAGAAAGCCATTAACCCTTTGAGGGTTTTTGACGTACTAGTACGGCTTACGACCCAGGGTTTTTGACGTACTAGTATGCCTAAATTCTAGCGCCCTCAAATCTAGTGGGAGAAAGCTGGTAGGCCTTCATATGAAAGAATGGGTCTATGTGATCAGTGTGCACAGTCTAAAAAAAATCCTGCAGCACACAGTGCATAATGAGAAAAAAAAAACTTTGACCATTTTTTTGGAATAAAACAGCGACTTTGCACTGTATTTTCGTATGGTATTTATTGTTGTATTCTAGTTTTCTTGGTCTCATTTTATAGAATGGAATACATATTACAGAAATTGAGATGATTTTGACTGGTTTTACAATGAAAGGTACCTTGAAATTGAGCTCAAAGTAGCAAATGTTCGATTTTTACCAAATTTCAAAAGTAAACAAATCGTGCCAAGCGTGCAATACACGTCAACTGGTGAGTCTAATATTCTTTCACAAGTGCACCAATAATATTTATACCATTTTTTACACTAATGCAGTAGTCTGCATAACAGTAAATCTTATATTTTTTTGTGAGAATAAAAATTCAAAGTGGAAAGCAAAAGAATATAAGAGGGGCCTTGAGACGTGACTAATGACCAGAAGAAATGTCATTTTAGTGCCAGGAATGTCTTTCTTGTTTATTCTGGACCCTATTCGGAAATTGGCATCTTTTGAAATTTGTGTGAAATTGGCAAAATTGCTAAATTCTGACCACTGTACTGGATAGTTGAATTTCATAAATGGGTGGTTTCTTGCACCCATTCGATAGAAAAAATGGAGTTCTAGCGAAATATTCATGTGTTTTGTCGACTAGTACAGTGGAATTGGCCGAAAATGGGGCTCAAAGTGGGCAAAATCGCCGATGCGTAAACATCGCCAAGACCGCTAACTTTGCGAGAGCATAATTCCGTAAGTTTTCCATCAAATTTCAAACTTTTGGTGTCCTTATGATCGGGAAAAGATTCTCTATCTTTTCAAAAGAGAAAATAATTTTTTTTTTTTTTAAATTTGGCCGACCCTGAGAACGAATTTCGGAGAGGGCCTGTCGACCCTCAAAGGGTTAATTATGCAACAGATTTCAAGCAAACTAATCATAAAACTTACACACGATTTAAATATAAACACACAATATGTAAAACATATAGTACCATACAGTACAATACCAGTATAGCTTGTGTAGATCTGGTAATTTATTATAATGTAATTTATTATAATGTGGATCTAGTAATTTATTATAACGAGGTAGGATGTGAGATTTAATAGGTGCTTTTTAACAATATTATTAAAGATGTTGATAGTTCCAATTTTCTTTGCTTTTTATTGACATGTAATTTTTGAACAGGTTTAGATGTACACATGGAATGTCAGAGATATTTATTCCTTGCACTGTGACTGTGTGTTCTGTTGAGGATCTCCAGATAGACTTTAAGTTCTGGGTTAATGTTTGAGTTGAAAGTCCTGAAGATATAGCATGCACAATAGAAAATGTGAATATTATATTTTGTATGTGAAGCAAATTTAAACTTTTGGAATAAGGGTGTGTGTGTCTGGAGCCTGAATGAGTGATTATTATGAGAGCTAACTATTTCTGAGTAGCAACTAATTTAAGTAACTCATTTCAACAGTAGTTTGTTGTGTGTGGTATCTTGTCTGTTGATGAAAGTACTTGAAAACATTTATATGAGTAATGCTGTACTAAATCCTATGCCTAACCAACCCAATCATTATATGATCAGCTTTGCTGATCATATAATGAGTCACACCACCAGATTCTCCAACAGCCAAAGCATCCCTAACCATGTACTAGACTCTTGTCAGGACCTGGAGTTGATCACCTCAGCTGAGAAGATGAAGATACAGTGGAACCTTGGTATACGACCAGCTCCCTACTCAAACAAAACTCAGTACTTGACCAAACAAATATGACCTGCCAGAACTTTGTTGTAAACTATTTCATGTTTCTTCGCATTTTTTTGTGTTTTTTTTTGTATTAATTGTATAAATAAGTCACCATGGGGCCTACGAAGATTAGTGATAACAGCCAACCAAACAGAACGCTGGTTGGGAAGAACCTGTTCAATACTCAAACGGAGCGGTACTCGCACAGCCTTCTGGAATTAATTAAGGACTCAACCGAGGTTCCACTGTACTTAACAGGCATCCTCTCTAACAAAGAGGTGCATTCTGGAGATCCAGTTGCATGATGAGACTTGGCTAGAATATGTAACCAGATACAGGTATCTAAGCCACAAAGACTTGTAACAAGTCTTTGTGGCAGCTTTTTATCCCAGGAATGGAGCTAATGTTAACTGAAAATGATATATGTATTTGCTTACATTAGATCACTGGTTATGCCACATCCCTACTTGTTCTTGTATACTGCACCTGGAGTATACCTGGAGAAGGTTTTTGGGGTTAACGCCCCTGCAGCCCGGTTTGTGACCAGGCCTTATGGTGGATCATAGCCTGATCAACCAGTCTGTTATGAGCCACAGCCTGGCTGGTCAGTTACTGACTTTAGATACCTGTCCAGCACCTTCTTGAAGACAGCCAGGGGTCTATTTGTAATCCACCTTATATATGATGGGAGGCAGATGAACAGTCTTGGGCCACTGACACTTATTGTGCTGTCTCTTAGTGTACTCATAGCACCCCTGCTTTTCATTGGGGGGGATGTTGCATCTCCTGCCCAGTCTTTTGCTTTCATAAGGAGCAATTTTCATGTGCAAATTTGGGACTAGTCCTTCTAGGATTTTCTAAGTGTATATTATCATGTATCTTTCTTGCCTGCATTCCAAGGAGTACAGGTCAAGGGACTTCAACCATTCTCAGTAATTTAGGTGCTTTACTGTACTTACAGGTGCAAAAAAAGTTCTCTGTATATTCTCCAGGTCTGCAATATTACCTTCCTTGAAAGGGGCCATTAGTGTACAGCAATATTCCAGCCTAGAAAGAACAAGCGATCTGAAGAAAATCATTACTGATTTGGCATCCCTAGTTCTGAAGGATCTCATTATCCATCCTATCATTTTCCTAGCAGATGTATTAGACACATTGTTGTTATCTTCAAAAGTCAGATTCTCTGACATTCTCACTCCCAGGTCTTTCACATTAGTTTTTTGCTTTATTGTTTGATTGGAATTTGTTTTATACTCTGAGCCAGCTTTTATTTCCTTGAGTTTTCCATAGCAGAGTAACTGAAATTTGTCTTCATTCAACTTCATGTTCTTTTCTAATGTCCAGTTAATGACTTGGTTAATATCCACTTGGAGATTTGCAGTGTCCTCGATGGATGAACACTGTCATGCAAATTCTGGTATAATAAGCAAAGGAATTCGGGTGTGTGTTGTCTGGTACTGGACTGGCATCCTCTCTTATGTTTCTATGTTCCTCAAACATTACTTTGTACAACTCTCTAATCTATCCTTACCTCATCTCTGGTATTTGTGTTTGGAGATCTACCACAGCAAATCACCAGAGTCCAATAATAGCTCAACAAAAAGTGGCTTTTTGAGCTATTATTGGACTTGGGTGATTTGCTGTGGTAGATCTTCAAACACAAATACCAGAGATGAGGTAAGGATAGATTAGAGAGTTGTACAAAGTAATGTTTGAGGGTCATAGAAACATATAAGAGAGGATGCCTACTAATTTGGAGACCTTCTTTGTTGTGTGCTGGATGTGGGTACTGAATGTCAAGTTGCTGTCAAAGTAAAGACCTAAGAATTTTCCCCTCGGGTTGTCTTACAACTGGAGATCCATTAATCATTATAAAGAGCTGGACACTTGCAATTCCATTCCCAAATATCATGTAGAAGGTCTTGTTAATATTAAAAGTGAGATTATTGGTAGTTATCCAGGTAGATATCTTAAAGATGATTCTCTTTAACAGTATTATTGAGAAAATTTGGATTTGAGTGGGAGATGACAAAGTTGTGCCATCTTGACTCACGAAATCGTAATGAGATGATTGCAAACAAGCCATACCACGGGTGGGGTTTGAACCTGCGGTCAGAGAGTCTCAGTGACTAACACAACGGTCTGGAGTTTTGAGACTGACCGTGGGTTCAAACTCCACCCGTGGTATGGTTTGTGTCTGCATACAAAAAAGGTTCAAGTAACTGAGATGCATTGAGATCATTGACGTATATAAAGAAAAACAAAGAGCCAGGAACACTCTCTCAGGCACCCATATGTCGATAGCAGAGTTGCCAAAGTTATGCCCTTGATGGAGACATATTGTCAGGGCAATATCTCTGGTTCTGGCAGAGGACAAAACCTCAGGTTTCAGTAGTCAGGACAATACCTCTGGTTTACAAAATGATGGATCACTGGAATAAATTATAATACGAAATACTACAACCATTAGATATGTAAAAAAAATATATGAACGAATTACTGAAAACAGGACTCAGCTTTACATACTAGCATTACATACTAATGGTTTTCTTTTGTGCCTACCAATGTTTTATTACATGTAAACTACATTTTTTCTGTGCCACACAAACAAATAAATATTTGCATTTGTATTCTGTAAGTAAAGAGAGGTAATTACAAGCAGTCCAAGGTGGCGCCGGGAGCCACTCAGGTTTTCACAAAAAAATCACTGTATTTTAGCCTCCGCAGAATGTAAAACTTCTGTCAAGTATAAAATAAATTATTGCTTTCATACTTAAAATCCAGATCGACTAGTCCCACCACATCCACGTCCAGAGTTCCTCCCAACTCATCAGACGACGCCATTATCAACATAACATTTGTTATTGTTGGGTTTAAGGGTTGAGATGGTCAGAGGTTGTTGGGTTTAAGGGTTGAGATGGTCAGAGGTTGAGTTTAAGAGTTGCGACGGACTGAGGTTGTTGAGTTTAAGAGTTGCGACGGACTGAGGTTGTTGAGTTTAAGAGTTGCGACGGACTGAGGTTGTTGAGTTTAAGAGTTGCGAAGGACTGAAGGCCATAAATTATAAGATTTCTACATTGTTTTAGCCGGAGAGTCAGCCACCCATGATAACCAGAGAAAGTCAGTGCGTCATTGAGGACTGTCTGTCTTATTTCCATTGGGGTCTTTCAGTCTTGTCTCCTAGGATTCCACCCACAACAGCCAACTAATACCCAGGTACCTACTTACTGCTAGGTGAACGGATACAGTAGGTGTAAGGAAACATGCCCAAAATTTCCACCCATGCCGGCGATTGAACCACGGATATTCAGTGTGTGAAGCGAGAGCAATGCCTACCAAGCCACGGAACACCCTAACTCCAAAGAATTAAATAAATAAAAAAAAATAAATAAAACATGTTAAGCGCTAAACCAATGTGGGTCATTCAGTGCAAGACTTGGTGGAAGCTTGATCCTATTTGTACTCACCCTGATGTCCTGTCTAACTTTATTTTTACAAAATACATCATTTTGATGTATTTTACAAAATACATTATTTTATAGAAAGTCCCTGGTTATGCAGAGCATTTCGGACTGCTTTAAAATTAACTTATAAATATTGGATACCTGGAGGGTGTTCGGGGGTCAACGCCCCTGTGGCCTGGTCCATGACCAGGCCTCGCGGTGGATCAGGGCCTGATGAACCAGGCTGTTATTTCTGGCCGCACGCAAACCTATGTACGAACCACAGCCTGGCTGGTCAGGTAACGACTTTAGGGGCCTGTCCAGCTCCGTCTTGAAGACAGCCAGGGGTCTACTGGTAATCCCTCTTATAATAATAATAATAATAATATCTATTTCTACGAGTACATGTACAAGGTATACAGGCCTAGCTGATACCAGTCACGTACTAGTATACATAAAGCCCCTTGCTATACAGAGCATTTTGGGCAAATTAAGTCAGTTTTGTCCCAGAATGCGACCCCACACCAGTCGACTAACACCCAGGTACCCCATTTTACTGATGGGTGAACAGGGACAGCAGGAGTCTTATCGAAACACGTCCGTATGGGGTGATCGATACCCGGATCTCAGTGTGTGAGCTGTGTGCCCTAGCAATCGAGCTACGGGACACCTACATAAAAGAGAGAAGCTTACGACGACGTTTCGGTCCGACTTGGACCATTGACAAAGTCACATTGACTTTGTCAGTGGCCCAAGTCGGACCGAAACGTCGTCGTAAGCTTCTCTTTTATGTGCGGGTCATTTGTGTATCGTTCCAGTCACGGTATTGTGCCTTTTTTTGTTATTTACGGGACACCTATGTTTGCTGGGAGGCAAATGAACAATCTTGGGCTCCTAACACTTACTGTATTGTCTCTTAGTGTACTCAAGGCATTCCTGCTTTTTACTGACGGGATGTTGCAACGCCTGCCGAGTCTTTTACTTTCACAGGGAATGGTTTCCGTGTGTAAACTTGGGACTAGTCCCTCTAGGATTTTCCAAGGGTAATATTATTATGTAAGGTAGTAGGTTGGTAGACAGCAACCGCCCAGGGAGATACTACCGTCCTGCCAAGTGAGTGTAAAACGAAATCCTGTAATTGTTTTACATGATGGTAGGATTGCTGGTGTCCTTTTTTCTGTTTCATAAACATGCAAGATTTCAGGTATGTCTTGCTACTTCTACTTACACTTAGGTCACACTACACATACATGTGCAAGCATATATATATACATACCTGGAGACCTGGAGAGTTTACCTGGAGACCTGGAGAGTTTACCTGGAGAGAGTTCCGGGGGTCAACGCCCCCGCTGCCCGGTCTGTGAGCAGGCCTCCTGGTGGATCGGAGCCTGATCAACCAGGCTGTTGCTGCTGGTTGCACGCAAACCAACGTACGAGCCACAGCCCGGCTGATCAGGAACTGACTTTAGGTGATAAGATAAGATAAGATAAGATTTCGTTCGGATTTTTAACCCCGGAGGGTTAGCCACCCAGGATAACCCAAGAAAGTCAGTGCGTCATCGAGGACTGTCTAACTTATTTCCATTGGGGTCCTTAATCTTGTCCCCCAGGATGCGACCCACACCAGTCGACTAACACCCAGGTACCTATTTGCTGCTAGGTGAACAGGACAACAGGTGTAAGGAAACGTGTCGAAATGTTTCCACCCGCCGGGAATCGAACCCGGGCCCTCCGTGTGTGAAGCGGGAGTTTTAGCCACCAGGCCACCGGGCCAGCTTGAAGACTGCCAGGGGTCTGTTGGTAATCCCCCTTATGTGTGCTGGGAGGCAGTTGAACAGTCTCGGGCCCCTGACACTTATTGTATGGTCTCTTAACGTGCTAGTGACACCCCTGCTTTTCATTGGGGGGATGGTGCATCGTCTGCCAAGTCTTTTGCTTTCGTAGTGAGTGATTTTCATGTGCAAGTTCGGTACTAGTCCCTCTAGGATTTTCCAGGTGTATATAATCATGTATCTCTCCCTATCTACCCTATCTACCTCCCCTATCTACCCCTCTGGGTTTTCTATTTTCTTTCTAGTTTTTGTTCTTGTCTATTTCCTATTATCTCCATGGGGAAGTGGATCAGAATTCTTCCTCCGTAAGCCATGCGTGTTGTAAGAGTCGACTAAAATGCCAGGAGCAAGGTGCTAGTAACCCCTTCTCCTGTATATATTACTAAATGTAAAAGGAGAAACTTTTGTTTTTCCTTTTGGGCCACCCCGCCTCGGTGGGATATGGCCGGTGTGTTGAAAGAAAGAAGAAAGAATATTATTATGTATCTTTCTTGCCTACTTTCCAAGGAGTACAGGTCAAGGGACTTCAAGCATTCCCAGTAATTATATGTGCAGTATGAGAAATTATGTGGGTGAATTTCACAGTTACAATCCCGAATTAACATTTCACACACATAACTAGGGAGAAGTCTAGTACATTTAAAACTGATTACACTTACTAATACTAGTTGTATCCTGGAGACATATAGGACTTCAACAACATTGGGTCACATCACTGTGCCCAATATTAGATACCTCACCTATTTGGTAAGTTGATACCGTGTATCATCCTCATTATGACCAGATAAGTAGATTATTATTATTATTATAATCAAGGGGAAGCGCTAAACCCGTAGGATTATACAGTGCATTCAGGCTTAATTCGGGGAACTGGAGCACAGATCCAATTCCCTAAATCAAGAGCCCCTCACCAACATCAAGGAACCTTCCCTGAGGGGACCAGATAAGTAGAGATAGCTAGCGGTCCTCCAGTGAACTAGAGTGAGGGAGGAGGACGCTGGTAGCCATCTTTGAACAATGACAGTGTTAAGAGCACCTTACAAAATTCTATCTTTTGAGTCATACACGGTTTCCCAACGTTACCTGGCAGATAACAACGTGTTTCAGAAGCCTCCCAACGAATTTTGTGAATAGGAGTCTCTGCGTCAGATCCGGTGGTGATAGCATTTCTGTATTTAACCCCAAGTCACGTAGCCACACAATACCGGGTGGGGAAAAAGGGATAGTTAACTTAGGATTAATAAGCGTGCCCATGACCAACGATCAGGTAATTTGTAATTTATATTTACTACAGTTAACAGTTTTTACTCCTGAGAGTTGTACAAGCCACTTGTGAGACTGAGATGATAGGAGTCTTGGGGGACATTGTCAAAAATCCTTTCTAGAGAGCGTCTCACAAGGAGGCAGATATTACAAACGTTTTCATAATTAAGGAAATAATAGAATATTAGTTCTCGTGTAACATAACATCTTTAAAAGTCACTGAAGATGCACATTACAAAATTTCAGATAAACAATATTATCCCCATTAATTCTTACACACAAATTCTAGGAAAATTATCAAAATTCTCCACATAAAACAAAAAAATAACAACAGATTTTATTTCCTTGCAAGATTACATTGAGATTATGAAATTACAATAATGAGTTGCAGTGCAAAGAGCCACTATCATGCCAGGCATTATGGGCAGACTTTATTTAATGGCTTACAGACTACATAATACTAAAGAAATTGATCATAGTTTGTTTAAGTTGTACATCTGTTTTTGTTTATAGTAGACAGTAATTTTACTTAAATTACAATAATTTCAAAAATATATATTAAAATTATATTATGGGAATATAACATTGTGAGTTGCTGAAAGTAGTTTACAATATGAGAATGTTACAGTTGGGCGTAAGGCAGTATTGTTTTGGGTAGGTATTTATACTACAATGTAGTATTAATCAATGTATAAACTTTGGGCGTCTAGTTTTGAAGTTTTAAGATTTAGGTAATTGGGAGATTTTTAGGGAAAGTTAAGTATTTAGTTTAGGGTGAGTAGGTAGTTTTTGAGAAGAGTTTTAAATTGATGTTCAGACCGGGTTACTTTAATATTTACTGGTAATAAATTCCAAATTTTGGGGCCCTTTATGTGCATAGAGTTTTTACACAGTGTGATATGGACACGGGGTACATCAAAAAGAGATCTGTGTCTTGTGTTATGCTCGTGTGTCCTGTTAAGGTTGGTGAGAAGAAGTTTGAGTGGACGGTTTATGTTTGAGTGTAGTGTTCTGTGTATGTAGTAGGCACATGAATAAGTATGGATGTTCTTTACGGTGAGCAGTTTTAGACTTTTGAATATTGGTAGAGTATGCTGTCGGGAGTGGGAATTTGTTATCATTCTGATCACAACAGTGCCACGATCACAAGTGCAAAGAAAATGATAGGATGGATAATGAGAACGTTCAAAACGAGAGATGCCAAGCCAATGATGATCCTTTTCAAATCACTTGTTCTCTCTAGGCTGGGATACTGCTGTACATTAACATCTCCATTCAAATCAGGTGAATTTGCAGATCTAGAGAGTGTACAGAGATCCTTTACTGCACGTATAAGTTCTGTCAAGCACCTGAACTACTGGGAACGCTTGGAAGCACTTGACTTGCACTCGTTGGAACGCAGGAGGGAGAGATATATCATAATCTACACTTGGAAAATCCTGGAAGGAATGGTCCCGAATCTGCACACACAAATCACTCCCTACGAAAGTAAAAGACTGGGCAGGCGATGCAAAATACCCCTAATTAAAAGTAGGGGCGCCATTGGTACACTAAGAGAAAGCACCACAAGTGTCCGGGGCCCAAGACTCCCACCAAGCATAAGGGGAATTACCAATAAACCCCTGGCTGCCTTCAAGAGAGAGCTGGACAGATACCTAAAGTCAGTGCCGGATCAGCCGGGCTGTGGTTCGTACGTTGGACTGCGTGCGGCCAGCAGTAACAGCCTGGTTGATCAGGCCCTGATCCACCGGGAGGCCTGTTCGTGGACCGGGCCGCGGGGGCGTTGATCCCGGAATAACCTCCAGGTAGACTGCAGCCTTTTGCTGGGTTATTAATGGTCTTAGGTGATTTGATGTTGTTGATCCCCATGCACAAATTCCATATGTGAGATAAGGGTAGATGAGTGAATGATACAGTGCAAGGAGAGCTGATTGTGGAACATAGTACCGTATCTTTGATAGTATGCCTACTGTCTTAGAGACTTTCTTGGAAATTTGTTGTATATGTGTCTGGAATTTGAGGCTACTGTCAAGGTGGATTCCTAGGAATTTTCCCTCTGTGAGTCTTGTGACGGGTGATCCGTTTAGCGTTATGTTAAGTAGAACATTTGCAGCTCTGTTTCCACACTGAATGAAATAGATTTTGTCAGTATTGAGGGTTAGCTTATTAGTCATCATCCAGGTAGATATTTTCTGCAATTCGCCATTAATAGTGTTGCCTAGTATGACTGGGTTTGGGTGAGAGAAGACGTATGTTGTGTCCTCTGCAAATAATATGGGTTTGAGTAGTTGTGATGTATTCGGTAGGTCATTGATGTAAATGAGAAAGAGGAATGGGTCAAGGACACTTCATTGTGAGACACCGACTGTGATTGGTACACGTATTGGCTTCTGTTACTAAGGTATGGCTTTAGGTAGTTGAGGGAGTGCCCTCTTATACCACAGTGTGTTAGTTTAATGTGCAGCAAATCATGGTCAACTGTATCAAAAGTTTTACGTAAATCAATGAAGATTCCCAGCGGGACTTCTTTCTTCTCGAGAGCGGTGTATATTAGTTCTTGCATGTGTATAATGGCATCATTTGTGCTTTTATTATTCCTCAATCCAAAGTGACAGGGGTTTAGTATGTTGTGTGAGACGAAGTAGGAATAGATCGGTCTATGAATTAATTTTTCAAAGATTTTAGAGAGCAGAAGTAAGTTAGATATTGGTCTATAGTTGTTCAAGTCCGCTTGATCACCTTTGTGGATCGGGGTGACCCTCGCTATTTTGAGAATTGCTGGGAAAGTGGAGGATTCGATGGATTTGTTAAAGTGTTGCAATAATTGGTGACTACTTGTGAAGCTTTTTTGTACATGAAAGGTGGTAAGTTATTTATGTCTCCTGCCTTGTTTTTAAGGGTGTTGATGATGAGCGAGACTTCTGTTGGGTTGGTTGGGGCTAGGAATAGTGTATTCGGGTAGGTGCCTGTGAGGTAGTCTAATGGACAGGTGTTTGAGCTTGGGATTTTGCTCGCTAGATTCTCTCCTATGGTGCAGAAGAAAACACTGAGTCTGTTTGCTGTTTCAGTTGGTGGGCATAGGGGTTCGTCTGACTTTGTTAATTTGATTGTTTTGTTTTTGGATATCTTTTTAGTTCCTAGAATTTCAGATAGAGATTTCCAGGTCTTTTTCATATCACCTTTTATGTTATGTAATCTGTTCTCATAATACAATTTTTTTGACCTTATCAGGCTGGTAAGGATTGACGAATAAAGCTTAGCATGGTCTCTAAGTTATTTGACCCATTCTGTACTGTTTTTCATATAGGTACTTTGTGTTACTGGATTAAGGATGCTGAGTGTTAGTCAGGGACTGTTCTGTCTCTTAGCTGTGATCTGTTTAGTTTTTTTAGGGCAATGCTTGTTATAGAGGTAGTGGTTTTTTTTTCTTCAGAAAATTATTAATACATTCATTCATATCTGTATATGTTTCAAGCTCATGCCAGTCGACGTTATTCATAGCTGTTATAAAGTTATTAACAGCTGTCTCGTTATGTAGTCTGAAAGTAACTTTAGTAGTGTCTTGGGGCAGTTTATGAGAAAGGTAGGATAGTGATCTGTGGTGTTGTCTGTGATTATGCCTGATTTTAAAGGGGATATGTTGTTAGTCCAGATGTGGTCTAATAAAGAGGTACTAGTCTCAGAGATTCTTGTAGGTTTTGTTATTGTTGGTAGCAACAAGCAGTTGCTCATAGTGTTTGTGAATTCGGTTACTTGTGGGTCCTGGTCATGTAGCAGATTTATGTTGAAATCTCCTGTGAAAGTTATCTGTATATTCTCCAGGTTTGCAATTTTGCCTGCCTCGAAAGGGACCGTTAGTGTACAGCAGAACTCAAGCGATTTGAAGATTAATTAAATTGGTTTAGAAGAATGTTAAGGTTTGCAATCTTGACATCAACTTTTATAGCCATCTGACCTTCCGCTAGCTTACTGGTCCACTCTTTAAAAAAAAATAGATTATCTCAGATTATGGGTCCTATAATATGCACTAGAGGTGGACCCCATCTGTATAAGGAGTCGTAATAGCACGACTGCAAACAAATCAAGGAACGGGTGGGACTTGAATAAATGGCAAGTGAGTCATAAAACTCACAGGACAATGCGTTAACCACTGGGTCATCTGGCTCTAATGAGATTAATCCAATTAAGTATATTTCTGTACACCATAGGAAGGTTAGCAAAGGCTACCATCTTGACATAAAATCATAATAATACTCTTGCATACATATCGCGAAATGGGAGAGTTCATACCCCAACCATTCCGTGATTTATATAGGGGAGTGTAGTAAAGTGTGGTCTGGTGAGTGGTCTTACTGACCGGCGGTCGGTTTCATACGGCCGTTTGGTTCATACGGTGGCCTATGGCCTGGTAGGCAATGCTCTCGATTCACACGCTGAGTGTCTGTGGTTCAATCCCTGGCAAGGGTAGAAACATTAGGCGTGTTTCCTTACGCCTGTTGTCCCTTTCACCTAGCAAACAAGTAGGTACTTGGGTGTTAGTTGACCAGTGTGGGTCGCATCCTGGGGAACAAGATTGAAGGACCCCAATGGAAATAAGACGGTCAGTCTCTATGACACACTGACTTTCTTGGGTTATTCTGGGTGGCTAATCCTCCGGGGTTAAAAATCCGAACAAAATTTTATCTTACAATTCCGCGTTCATATGGCCGTTGGGTTCATACAATTGCCGGGTTCATAGGGCCGTCAGGCTCATACAATTGCAGGATTCATACGGCCGTCGGGTTTACCCTCACCCTCGCCCTGTACCTACATGCCCACCTCCACCCAGGTACTGCTTGTGATATTGGGGCGTCCATGGCGGCGCCCACAACCTTAGGGTTTATAAAGGGCTGGTGTGGCAGTTGGTGTGGGGGCAGGGGCACCCTCCAACACAGCTCTTGTACAGAACAGTAATGGAGTAGGAGGCTTAGAGGTAGGTGGTGTTGCTGTATGTCCGAACACTGCCTTGGTATGGATTTTATTATCTGGGCAGCCTCCAAATCTCCTGTGTTAACCTAACAAGAAGCGGCGGTGCGGATGATCACATACTCTAGCGCCAGACAACACATCAAACCACATAAAGGGCCCGAAGATCTGGAACTCTTTGCCCGAAGCAGTAAGAGGTCCCCTTCCCACAAATCAGTTTTGGACATGATACATAGTTGCACAAGGAATTATAGTTGGGTGTACATGCCAAAAGCCCCTTGTATGCAGAACATTATGGGCAGGCTTAAAATTAACTTAAGATTAACTAAGCAATGATATATTCAGTGGTAAAAATTACAGTAAACAAAATACAACATGAAGTACAAATGAATATTTTAAACAATGAAATTTGAACCTTTCAATTAAGAGGCATTATAATTGTACAAATTTGTAGCATAACAATGTATAATATAACAAAATGATCAATATGCTATATCAATATGCTATTTGTAGTGCAGAAACAGGTCACTTGGTCATTAGATGAGTTACTGTGCATTCAAGAGAATGGATTATTCTATTAGGTAATGTAGGGCTAATGTTAGGACTAGACTCAAAAATCCTCTCATCTCTCAATAGCAACCATACCCACTCTGTGCTAAACTCGAACCAAATTTAAAGCAACTCCCAAATATTTTATTATCCCTTAACAGTTAAGCCATTATTACAAGCTAAAAAATGTATGTATCATTAATTGTACTACTTAATATTAAAAATAGAGTAAACAAACTTAATTACAAACTTAAAAATGTGTGTTTGTATCATAAGTTGTACTACCTGGTATTAATAGACTAAAATATTGAATTTTTGTATTCTACCACTCTTCATCAGCCTAGACTTAAATAGTCTGTAAGTATTAAGTTAAGTCTGGCCGAAATGCCCGGTATGATAGTGGAGTATTTGCATTAATAACTAAAATGTAATTCGTTCATGATTGTCACGATATATAGACGTGTAGATGATTAATTACCTTTATAACTTGGTCTTGATTGTGACCAGATCTACCTGGAGTTCATTACCTTTGTAACTTGTTCATCTATCAAAACTTTGGGGCCCAGTCCCTGGACCCATTATGTACCTCTGTAATCTTTTGACTACCGCCCACAAGATGGGTATGGTGTGCATAATAAAGATATTAAACTAACGTCGGGTACATACAATTGCCGGGTTCATACAGCCGTCGGGTTCATACAGCCGTCGGGTTCATACAGCCGTCGGGTTCATACAGCCGTCGGGTTCATACGGCCTTAAAGTGTCATTGTCCTTTAACCTAACCAAAATATTGCTTCACCATGAAGTCTGGTCCGAACATACTTATAACAGGTGAGACAAGTATTAACGGTAATTACACTGCACGTGTGAGGAAGAAGGTGGAGAGGAAGATGGAACTTCTGTAACTGTATCCATTTTTTCACGTAAACAATTTATTACTGTCATTTGTCCCCCTTGTGGCCCTCTTCTCTTTCTCCTATACATAAATGACCTTCCAAATGCTTCGCAATTACTCAAACCCACACTATTTGCAGATGACACTACATACGTCTTCTCTCACCCGAGCCCAGTCACGCTAGCCAATACTGTAAATACCGAATTACAGAAAATATCTACCTGGATGAGGACTAACAAACTTACACTAAACATTGACAAAACCTACTTCATTCAGTTTGGTAACAGAGCTACAGATGTACCTCTTAACATAATGATAAACGGATCACCTATCACAAAACTAACAGAGGAAAATTCTAGGAATCCACCTGATAATAGACTCAAATTTCATACACATATACATCAAATTTCTAAGAAAATTCCAAGACTGTAGGCATACTAATCGAAGATACGGTACTATGTTCCACAGTCAGCCCTCCTGGCCCTATATCACTCTCTTATTTACCCCTATCTCACCTATGGAATTTGTGCATGGGGCTCAACAACAATTAACCATCTCAGACCACTAATTACCCAACAAAAGGCTGCAGTTAGAATGATAACAAATTCTCACTACAGGCAGCACACTCCACCAATATTCAATACACTAAACCTACTCACCATACAAAAACATCCATACTTATTACTGCACCTATTACATACATAGAACACTTAACTCTGATATTAACCCTCCCTCAAACTCTCCTTGCCAACCTCAACAGAACACAAGCACAGATCACTCTTTGATGTTCCTCGTGTCCATCTCACACTATGCAAAAACTCAATGCACATAAAAGGCCCTAAATCGAATTCATTACCTGTAAATATAAAAGAAACACTACCTCTTTATAAATTCAAGTCTCTTCTCAAGATCACTACTCACTATCCAAAACCAAATAAATACTGAATAACTGAACCTTAAAATTGTATACTTAAATGTTTCTCATAATATATCACATAAACGTTAAACCTAAAACCCAATCTAACTTTATTATTTTTAAATACACTACCTAACAGAATCACTACCTAACTGAATGCAACCATATGACCTGTCTTTGTAATACTCACTTGTGCTTTATAGTAATCTGTTTACATTAATGTTTTATCACTGATTTCATCATTGCTTATACAGCGCTGTATAGTCCTTGTGGCTTAGCGCTTCTTTTTGATTATAATAATAATAATAATCATTGCTTAGTTAATCTTAAGTTAATTTTAAGCCAGCCCGTAATGCTATGCATAGTATAAGTGGCTTTGGCATGCTGCTCTTATCTGTATTTTTTGTACCTCTGTATGTGTGCTCAAATTGGAAATAAATAAAATAAATAAATAAGGAAGGTTCCTTGATGTTGGTGAGGGGCTCTTGATTTAGGGAATTAGATCTGTGCTCCAGTTCCCCGAATTAAGCCTGAATGCCTTCCACATCCCCCCCACGCGCTGTATAATCCTCCGGGTTTAGCGCTTCCCCTTGATTATAATAATAATACTGTCATTTGTCCAACAAAGTGTTGGGACTCATTACTTGCACTTCAGTCAAGGGAGGTTAAATAATTTTTTTTAGGTACAGGTACACTTAGTACAATAATTATACATAGTGTAAATTACCAAGGATAACCCAATAAAGTCAAAGTGACTTATTTCCATTGGGGTCCTTGATGAAGTTAAAGGGCTCTATTGCATGACCCCTCAAGGAGGTTCCTTGATGCTGGTGAGGGGCCCTTGATCTAGGGAATTGGATCTGTGCTCCAGTTACCTGAATTGAGACCTAATGCTTTCCATTCTCCCCCCCCCCCACACAGATGCTGTATAACCCCAACGGGTTTAGCTCTCCCCTCTAATAATAATCTTGATTCCATGAATTTTGGTTACCCTTCTCTTCCATGGATCAAACCTTATTATCTCCCAGTCCTCAAGCATATAGTACTATGTAAAACAGTTGTAATAACTTTAAAACTTATTGTACTTGGGTGTAATTGTACCTAAATAGCTGTATAGCCCTTGTGGCTTAGCGCTTCTTTTTGATTATAATAATAATGTACCTAAATAAACCCCACCCCCAGTGCGATTTATTTAGATACAAAGTTGTCATCATGATGACGGCTTTGAGGGGACTTGAACTACAGTTAGTCACGGCCATGCTGTGTCTGTAAAAACTTGCATTTATAGTCAAAGAGGTGCCTATGCTAACCTTCCTATGGTGTATAAATATATCTAGTTGAATGACTCTTATTGTAACCACCTGGCCCTGTGGCTAATGCATCGGTCTGGAGTTTTATGACTCTCTGATCACAGATTCTATCCCCACCCATGGTATGGTTGGTTTGCAGTCGTGTCATTATGATTTCGTGAGTCATTCCGCTGTTAATTTCTTTCTTTCATATCTCTTCTCTTTTCTCTTCTCATGTCTTTTCTCTTCTCTGTTTCCTTTTCTCTCTCTTCATCTGCCTTTTCTTTTCTCTGTCAGTGTCTTCAAAGGTAGCTTACTCATATATGACTACTATATTTTTGTTGAAACCATCAGAGGGGAATGAAATATGTCATCTCACTTCCTGGAGTGAGTTGCTGCACATACCTGTAAAAATTCCTGTCAACAAACAGCAAAAGAAAAATTGAAGTGCATTGGTTTCTGCACATGATGCCCTTTTGTTATCTTCTATGCTTGTGGCTTCCTTGTAAGTCACCAGCATCGAGAAAAGGTGTAGAATAACACATTGAGAATTTCTGCATTATTATAGATGTGCAGAAAAGCAGTGAAGATACTGCTATAGTATTGTATATGTACATGTTGCAACTTTTAAACAACAGGCTAAGTGGAGTGGCAAATGGAGAGAACTTGTGATCACCCAGGCTTAAATTAGAAAGCACAAATAGTGCCCCTCGCATCACATTATGCAGGGATTTTGTAGATAGGTGGAAGAGAAAAATTAATATCCTCATGCTTTGGGTTATGTTGGTGACAAATTTATGAGGTCTGGTTCTATGTTTTATATGGTTTAGTTTGTCTTTTATTTGGATTCTAATAAATTGTGAATATACAATTTTATTTTTTGCCAGGTACACCAGGAGTAGGGAAGTCTACATTAGCACAACAATTAGCTGAACGTTCTGGACTGGAATGGATCAGCGTAGGAGACCTAGCAAGGGACAATAATTTTTTTGATGGTTATGATGATGAGAGAGATTGCCCCATTCTGGATGAAGATAAAGTAAGTGATATAATAAGGCCTAATAATAATCACCATATATACATGTATATGATGAGAGAGAATGCCCCATTCTGAATGAAGAAAAAGTAAATGATACAATAAGGCCCAATAATAATCACCATATATATATGTATATATGTAACAAAAAAAGGCACAGTATTGAGACTGGAACAATACACAAATAACCCGCACATAGAAGAGAGGAGCTTACGATGATCTTTCGGTCTGACTTGGACCGAAACATCGTCCTAAGCTCCTCTCTTCTATGTTCAGGTTATTTGTGTATGTATATATATGTCATGCTGAATAGGTAAAACTTGCGATTTTGGCATAAATAGCAATGCTCTTCTTGCCGAATAAGGAAAGCGAAAATTAGTGTATGCAATAATTTTGCAAAAATCATTCTGAATCTAACAGCAAAACATATTTCATTATGTTTGTTTGTTATTAAATTATTGTAAACTTATCTAAAATATATTTACAGTGGACCCCCAAGTTTTGTGATTAATCCATTCTAGAGAGACTGCCGAAAGTCAGAATTCACGAATGTCGGAACCATTTTCCCCCATAAGAAATAATGTAAATCCAATTAATAAGTTCCAGACACCCAAAAATATTAACAAATTTTTTTTTTGTGTTAGATTAAATGTAGATTTACATACAGAAAAGAATGAGAAATCAAATATAAAAGAATAATAGCACCCTTCTGGCAAGACAGTTATGGAGTGAATGATGGTGAAAGTTTTTCTTTTTCGGGCCACCCTGCCTTGGTGGGAATCGGCCAGTGTGATAATAAAAAAAAAAAAAAATCTTTATTGAAGGCTCTTGTTTTTGTATGGAAGACAGGAGGAGGGGAGAGGATGGAGAAGTAACACTATTGTTTGGAAGGAAAATCTCCTTCCATCAAGACTTTAGGTACCAAGTCCTTATCTGGGGTTTCTTCCCTTCTCTGTTTTTTAATGGCACCAGGACCAGCTTGAGAGTTACTGGACCCTTGTTGCACAAAAAAAAACTGTCCAGAGAGCTCTGTTTCTGGCGTCTCTTTAAAATTTGCCAAAAATGGGACATGGTATTGTCATTGTACATGTTGCCACTATGGCGTGCAGCAGCTTTGTCAGGGTGATGTTCCTCCATAAATGTTTGCACCTCACTCCACTTTGAACAAATGCCCCTAAGCTTTGAACAATTCACCTCCTTCCATCTCTCTTCCTTCTCTTCTGAAGCAATTTCCTGAGCTGTACTCTGTTACTGTTGCAGATGAAGGTCTTGCAGCTCTTCAGTGGTTAGCAATTGACTGTGGTCCTCCACCAACTCTTCCACATCCTGGCTACTCACATTCAACCCCATGGAATTCCCTAGTGCCACAATAGATTGCACAACTGGCATAAAGTTGCCAGGGTCAGCCTCAAACCCTTCAAAATCTTTGATGATTTCTTTGTTTAATTGTATTGTGTTTCTCACCTTCTTTAGCAAAGGGTTGGCACTAGAAGCTTTCTTTGGGCCCATAGTGGCTTATTTAGCAGTTTCAAGCACCAAAAACAATGGATTATTATGAAATGTATCATATGAACACCTGGAATAATGGTCACTCACGCAAAAACAGTGCCACACTGACGCTCTGAATGTTGTATGGGAGCCTTTGTGTATGCCTAGCCACTCCTGGATTACGGATGCGTTCCATACGATGGACGAATCGCGAGGCAAATCACAAACCATGAGGCTTTATTTTGACGAAAAAAGTTTTTATAAGTCGTAATTCACAAAGGGCAAGGCTCATGAAACTTAGGGATCCACTGTAGTTGGATTGGGCTGAATTAAATTGCACTTGTTATAATAAGGTTAGGTAAGTTTTCTAAGGTTCTTTTGGTACAAAATTATTAATTTTTACATTAATATAAATGAAAAATGTATATCTTTAAACGTACAGTGGTACCCCGAGTTTCATACAACTCCCAACTCTAACAATTATGTAAGTGTAGTATTGTAAGTGCTTTTGTAAGTGTATTTTTTGGGGTCTGAAATGGACTAATCTAATTTACATTATTCCTTATGGGAACAAATTTGTTCAGTAACGGCACTCGAACAGCCTTCTGGAAGGAATTATAGCCAAAACTCGGGGTACCACTGTATAAGAAAAAATTTTTAGAGAGGACTTAATTTTAAATGAGTTATTGCTAATTGACCAATTTTACTTATACGGCAAAACACACACACACACACACACACACACACACACACACACACACCACACACACACACACACAGTGTAGTGGGTCACAAGCGCCAGGCTCCGAGAATCTTAGTGCTTTTAGGGCGTGTTTTAGCAGCTAGAAGCAACCAGTGTTAGTGACAACGTCAGTGAACAACCCTACAAGTGATAACCAGTGTATTAGCAAACATAAATAAAGTGAAGGCGAGAGAAAGCCTGAAATTATACAACAAAATTTCAAAGCGCCAGTCGTTGAGGCCTAGTTGGCACCTGTTGCCACATTGTTACACATATACAAAGTACAAATCGAGTGACTAAAGAGAAAAGACCAAATAGAATTAAGAGAGGCATAAAGTGATAACCAGTGTATTAGCAAACATAAATAAAGTGAAGGCAAGAGAAAGCCTGAAATTATACAACAAAATTTCAAAGCGCCAGTCGTTGAGGCCTAGTTGGCACCTGTTGCCACATTGTTACACTTATACAAAGTACAAATCGAGTGACTAAAGAGAAAAGACCAAATAGAATTAAGAGAGGGTGGCTAACGACAAAATGTGATGTAGCACAAGAGTGAACAAGCTCGCCAGAAAGGGATATATATATATATATACATACATATACATAAATATATATAAGCAGAGGTGGTGGCAGCAGTAGGCCTGAGGGAGTAGCGCCGCCATAACAGGCTGGGTGTCATCACAAATAAGTAGTGTACTTACCCAAAGTGAAGTGTAAATTTAAATAAAGTAGCAGTATACAAGTGATAAGTGTGGTAAATGAGGACTCAAAAGGGCAACGAGATAAGAATAGCGAAGAAGCCAGCGGCGGAAGGGCGAGGTGCACGAGTCATCGTACAGCAAGCATCGTACAGCGAGCATCGTACATCAGGCATCTGGATGGACGTCCCTCTCGACCAGTAACGTACAAATCACTGTTTTGTGGTTGGCGGGAAGTCTGAGTGATAGAGCCTGGCCCAGCGGTCACTGGTAACTCGATTCTAAACCCTGCTCAGAGCGATTATCATACACACAACACCTAGCAGTAGTAGGAAGATAAACTTTGTAGGAGTAAGGATTAAGCAGGAGGATTAAGTCGTGGCTAATGGGACTACAGCCCTGACAACAGTTTCGAGAGATAATGTTCTAGGGCACAAAGACAGTACAATCTGAGAAGCAAGTACAGGGTACACATGTAGTAAAAGGTAAGTACATAACTAGGTGAAGAATGACTTGTTAACACACGCTAGTATTATAATTATTAGAACTACTTTCAGGGTTAATGGTACTCATTAGTATTACGGATACACAGAAGTGAATTGTATTTCTGGGACATATAAACAACTGACGTGCTCACACACACACACACGCGCGCACACACATACACACTCGGGGCCAGGAGCTGGGTCTCGACCCCTGAAACCACAACTAGGTGAGTACACACAGTGATCCTTGGAATTTGACCGCCTCCCCCACAGACCTCTTACCTTTCCCCTCCCTCGCGTTTCTCCCTCTCAATACCCTCTTTCCCTCCTTTCTCCCTCTCTCTCTCTTTCTCTCCCTCTCCCTCTCTTTCTCCCTCTCTCTACCCTTTCTCTCCCCCTCACATTCTCTCTCTCCCCCTTGGTCTTATCCCTCACCCCATACTCTCTCCCTTCTCTCCCTCTTTCTACCCTTTCTCTCCTCTCTCTCTCCTCTTTCTACCCTTTCTCTCTCTCCCCCACACCCTCTCCTCCTCTACACATGTAGTAAAAGGTAGTACATAACTGGGTGAAAGAATGACTTGTTAACACACGCTAGTATTATAATTATTAGAACTACTCTCAGTGTTAGTGGTATCTCATTAGTATAACGGATACACAGAAGTGAATTGTATTTCTGGGACATATAAACAACTGACGTGCTCACACACACACACACACGCGTGCACACACATACACACTCGGGGCCAGGAGCTGGGTCTCGACCCCGAAACCACAACTAGGTGAGTACACACAGCTGATCCTTGGAATTTGACTGCCTCCCCACAGACCTCTTACCTTTTCCCTCCCTCGCGTTTCTCTCTCTCATAGCCTTCTTCCCTCCTTTCTCCCTCTCTCTCTCTTTCTCTCCCTCTCCCTCTCCCTCTCTTTCTCCCTCTCTCTACCCTTTCTCTCCCCCCTCACATTTCTCTCCTCCCCCTTGGTCTTAATCCCTCACCCCATACTCTCTCTCTCTCTCCTCTCTTTCTACCCTTTCTCTCTCCTCTCTCTCCCTCTTTCTACCCTCTCTCTCTCTCCCCACACCCTCTCCCTCCTCTAGCCTTCTGTCTGTGTAATAAAAAGTAAAAAAAAAAAAAAAAAATGGGTGGCCTTAGAGGACGGAAACCAGAGATCTGGTGGACGAACCAGGGAGGAAAGACTGGAGCTAGAGCTCCAAAAAAGGGAGGAAGAGTGGGGAAGGAAGATAGTAGAGCTTGGTAAGAAATGGAGGAGCGGATAGCTGAAGAGTGCAGGAAGTGGGAAGTACAGGTCTTAGCAGCAGAAGCTAGGATACAGTGCTTAGAAGAGAAACTGCAAAGCCTGAAACAGATTAGAGAGACAAATGACAATTCAGGTGTGACATCAGGAATTCAAAGTCAGGCGCAGACAAGGGGATGGTAAGCAACAACGGAGACATGCCGAACATGAAGGCCCTATCAGACCCACGTGGGGCCAGGGAAAAGACGACGAGCACACTAAGATCAAACGACAGGTCCGAAGACAATGAAGGTATGCTATATGCAGAGATTCTAACAGCCAACTGCAGTAGCAAGG